ATGAAAACTGATGAAACCGGCAAGCATACTCACCTAACTGCCTCCGTCCAGTCTAGACATATTTTTCTTTCAGCCCAATAAACTGGACTGAAAACAGCTGCATTTGTCCTGCAGATCATCTGTGACTCTCACACAGTAAAGATGAATTTATAAACATGAAACATGACCACAGAGCTCAGCAAACGTCTGCCCCAGTTTAAAATATTTATCACTTGCTCAGCAATGGATCCTCTGCAGTGAATGGGTGCCGTCAGAATGAGAGTCCAAACAGCTGATAAAAACATCACAATAATCCACAAGTAATCCACACCACTCCAGTACATCAGTTAATGTCTGGTGAAGTGAAAAGCTGTGTTTGTGTAAAAAAAAACAAATCCATCATTAAGAAGTTTTTACCCTCAAACCGTTACTTCTGGCTAAAATGAGAGTCCTCTATCCATGGACTCTGCACAGATCAAGCACGGTTTACAAGAGAAAACAGTCCAAAACAGCTCTAGACAAATATGTTGGTGGATTGTAATATAAGAGGACAACAGGAGATGGACTTTTTCACTGGAGGAAGCGTTATTATGGATTATGGGCTCGTATTTTAGAAGGAAGAAACGGTTTGAAAGTCTGAATGATGGATTTGTTTCTTACAAACACGCAGCTTTTGGCTTCACCAGACATTAACTGATGGACTGGAGTGGTGTGGATTACTTGTGGATAATTGTGATGTTTTTATCAGCTGTTTGGACTCTCATTCTGACGGCACCCATTCACTGCAGAGCATCCACTGCTGAAACACTGATGCAATGCTACATTTCTCTAAATCTGATGAAGAAACTCATCTACTGTATTTTGGGTGGACTGAGAGTGAGTAAATGTTCAGCAAATTTTCATTTCTGAGTGAACTATGCCTTTAAACTAGGATAGAATAGAGTAGTTCAACACAGAAAGAAAACAACTCTTCGTTTCAGGTGGCCAAACACCTGCTCAGAGCCACAGTTTAATAAAATTCACTTTCCTTTTTATTCCTCTGTGTCTGGTGGCTGTTATGTTGGACATAAGGAAGCAGACAATAAAATTGATGGCCTAAAAATGTATTGCCTCATAACACTTCCTGGAGAAGCGCAATGCTCCGTCAGTCTGACCGGCAAACACTCCCTCAGGTCAGACAACAGATGAGACCTACAACACATGCTGGCAACCCAATGTGAAACTTGATTTCCCTTCTTTTTAGCACATCTGTTCTCTGAAATGTAGAAAACAGGACACGATTTAAATACCAATATGAGTTCATGAAAGGAGCATTTGATGCTTTGAGTTCAGCTCTCAGGAGAAGAAGCTACTAGAAAACTATTGCAAAGGGAAGGTCACTGAGAAATGTGGGATACAATACAACGCCTACCGAGAAACACAGGGCTTTTAACAAAAATCAACAGCTGCTTTTCTATAAAACATCCAGTCTGAATACCATATGCATTACTTTCTCGGTCTTTCTTTGAACGCAGTGAAAAACAGCATCTGTAAATGTAAGAATCTGAATCAATTAAGTTGTTCATTGCACTTATTTTACTCTACTGCTCATCCATGTTTATGTTTAAAAAGTTAAGTTTCAAAGCCTCGGCCTTTCTTTGAACGCAGTGAAAAACAGCATCTGTAAATGTAAGAATCTGAATCAAGTTGTTCATTGCACTTATTTTACTCTACTGCTCATCCATGTTTATGTTTAAAAAGTTAAGTTTCAAAGCATCTTTTTTTAACTATAGATGTGCTAAACTCCATCAAACCTAAACGTCTCATCTCAATGACTTGTAATTATATCAATGCAAAAGCTCTAGAATAAGCAATGAATTATAACAAAGCAAAAAAACAACAACTCTGAACTGTTTAAACTGATTTTACCACGGTAAGACGTGTTATACATGATGCAAAGCAAAACACTCTTTACCACTGTAAAATCACAGACTCAAGTTGATTACTGCTTTAATAAAATGCAACAGGAACAAATGAAAGATACAGATTTTCTAAAAATAACTGAAATAACAATGGTTAATATGCAACATGGCATCTTCATATGGAGCTCAACTGATGTGCAATATGGTGTGCATGTATTTTTATCAGCTCATCTAATGAGATTTTAGAGTCATAACTGTTTCAATAAAAAAAATAATAAATAATGAGGCATAGAGGATGTGCAGCACAATGATTTTTTACAACTAAAAACCCTTATGAGGTTAAAAAATCATTTATGTATTAAATGGCAGAAATTAAAAGGCACATTTATGACATATATACATTATCAATTTGACACCATCATCATATCCAATATTTTAAGATAAAACAACAAAAAAAACATTTTTGTTACTTGAAATAAATAAACATTAACTGAAATAAAAGAAAACTTTTTTTTTTTAGTTTTTAACATTTAGCATTTTCGCTTAGCTTAAGTTGAAGTACTAAAGTAACTAAAACTAAATAAAAATAATTAATAAAAAAATTATAAATACTATATATATATATATATATATATATATATATATACATAAAAAAAACTAATAAAAATGCATAAAAAACCCTAAAACTTACTAAAATCAAATAGAAAATGTAATAGTATAATGTTGATTGAGTAAATGATGCAGAGAAAAATATTTAATTTAAAATAATTTAATTTATAAATACATACATATATATATATATATGCAGAGTTTATGATTGACAGTTGACATCAGCTTTGATTTGTCCCGTTTGTCTGACCAGTAGCAGACGGGGGGAACGTTCGAGAAACCTGTTTGAAAAACGTTATAATTTTTGCTAATTTGCTTGGGACACAGAAACTACACAATTCAGCTATGACCTAATAATACAATATACAAAAGTCTAAGTAGTGATGCATGTAATATGGAAGAAATAAAGGTGGACACAGACAGAGAGAGAGAGTCTGAGCTGTGGAATGTAGGTCAGAGCTCGTTAACAATTCCAGGGATTTAGTGTTTCAGCTGAAGTTTTCAAAGGAAAAACCTAAGCGTGGCAGGCTGGACATCGGCCAGTAACTTTGGGTGGAAACGTCTGAGCTTTCCAGAAGTGCTGAAACACACGTACACTGGATCATCTCACGAGAAGAGCAAGAAATGATATGCAGGCAAATGAGCTTCAACATGAATTGAGCACTTGGCAGAAAGAAAAAAACGGTGGTTTATGTACGAGTAGTTTTCATGCTAAAGCATCGGCCTCCACATTAATAACTAGTTGTTTAACAGACCTGTAGGCAAAGGGACTTAAATTACTCTTATTACAGGGAAAATCCTCTTTTTGATAAAACCCAAGTTTTTTTTCCCACTGGCTTTTGAATTATTGAGGAAGATATGCTCTGTGACCAACAAACGTGTATGATTCTTAGATGTTTTGTTCATGACAATCAAATTAAATTGATAAATGAACACACACTTCCCATTTTAATGAGAAAGTTTAGGTTTATTTAGTACAAAAGTATTTTAGCATCTGATGGGGAAACACTCAAAAAACATTGATACTACAATTATACCTGCAAGATACTGTCAAATATATCCATGCACTGATCTGATGGATATATATTTATATAATTGGTGTTTGTTGTATCAAAGCAGGACTGTAAACCTGCTCCTCGTGACCTTGAATAACTATAAAGACGAAACAGAATGAATCGCAATGCTGTTGTACACAGTGTTGTAATGTAACAAAGTAATAACACTTCGTTACAGTACTTAAGTATTTTTTGGGAGTATCTGTACTTTACTTGAGTTTTTATATTTCAGCCAACTTTTACATTTACTCCACTACATTTCCTAATTAAAATGTATACTTTTACTCCGATACATTTCCCCGAAGCATATTCGTTACTTACTACAAAATAGTCAGAAGTCAGAAGAACACGGACTGCAGGAAAGCAGGTTTGACGAATCAGTCAGTGGTCTAGCGTTTGCAAGTTAAAAACACTTTGCTCGTGCAATCAAGTGCGCGCACAACCGTGGATGATTCATTTTCCACTCATGTCGAGTCTGTGTGTGCGATATACAGTATATCTTCAGCGATAATATGGTAAGTGTTGTTGTAATGATGTGCGATCGGACATTATCAAGTAGGCTATATCACCAAATCTCACACAGAGTGCACGCACGTTGATTTATTAGTCTATTAAAACTCAAAATTCCAGGCATTCTAAATTGTAGACGGCAAAAATGCTTCTGTATGCTTTTTATATTTATATAATTTAATATAGTTAACTTAATCTATATCACACAGAGAGTACCGTTTTTCTGCAGATATCAGCATAACACATTTAATAATCGTTTTATACAAGTTCAGTAAAGCAATAAGTAACTTACATTTTAGACATAATATTGCTTGTTTTTGCTAAATTTTGCCAACGAAAATAGTTCCAAACAAAGATCACACAGCACTGTTTTGCGTCTCTGAGCAATAGTGTTTACTTATTGAACGAATCAGCTTTTTGAACGAATCGGTTGATAAAATGATTCAGTGATTCACTCAGTAACACAGTCAAATGCTTTGTTCCTGAATGAATCAGCCGTTTGAATGAATCGGTTGAATCTCAATGACTCACTCATTAACAGTCACTTGCTGTCACCTACTGGGATGCAGATTCCAGAAATGTTTTCTTATGCTGTAATGAAAGACACTAAGTACCGGATGAAGTGCTTCTTATTCTTACCCAAAAATACAAAATGGAAGAAAGAGTTAAAACTGAACACAATCTTGCTACTTAAGCGGTGTATGAACATTTTTAATATATATTTGCTGCTTTTCCATTTTGCATTTACTTGTACTTTTACTTTCAATGCTTAAGTACGTTTAAGATTTAAAAAATACTTTTCGTACTTAAGTAGGCTACAATAATTATCACATACTTTAAGACTTTTACTCAAGTAATATTGTAATATTACTTGAGTAAAAGTCTTAAAGTATGTTTTTACAATGTAAACGGTGACTTCAACTTCCACCAAAGTAATTTTCTGGTAAGTTATTTGTACTTTTACTTGACTATGGCTTTCAGGTACTTTATACACCACTGGTTGTACATTTTAACAACACATCTGTCCATCAAAGCCCATGTGTTTGAGTTTATAGTTCACAGGCACTTTACGGGGCTTCACTTCCAAGAAAGCCCTTCAAAGCAAACAATCAATCCACACACACATATCATTTAAACAGTTATGGCTGCCAATCAAAGGAAAAATGTACCTTAAGAACGGTATTAATATAGTATTTTTGTATCCATCTCTCAGACTCCTGTGATTCATTTAAATAATTCACCCAAAAATGAGATTTCTGGCATCATTCACTCACCTTCATGTTATTTCAAACCCATACGACTGTACAACATTCGCAAATTCTTATATTTTAGCGCTTTCCTCGCAAAAGACTAAGAATAGTCATATGTTTACGGAAAGGAATTAGAAAACAGAGTAAAGTACGACCAAATGTTTATTTTTGGGTGAACTATCCCTTTAGCTTGTTAGAAAGAGGTTGAAACTAGTGCAGAAACACTTTCGGTGTCTGACTCCTGCAGCTGCTCTGACAGTGAACTCAGTGAGAGGAGCTACTCGAGACCCCGCCCTCTTTGAGGCTCCGCCTCTCACAGCTTGGCTTTGCCCGGCTGCAGCTGCAGGTTTTGAAGCTTCATCGCCATGCCCATGTTTCCGGTGATCTTCAGTTTGCCCTGGAAGAACGCCTGCATGAACGAGAGGACACAAAAGAGAGATTAACATTGATTTTTTTTTTTTTTTTAAATATTAACCTCCTGAGAGGATAAGCTATTCATCTGTGTCCAAGGAATTAATTTGTGTCCCAGTAGAGGACATTTGTTTTTGTGAATTATTTTTCTGTGGCCTTACAAGCCACACTTCAGTGTCTCAAAAGCAACAGGGCTATTCAGAGATACTAAATGGGGGTTTGGCCATGAAAACATCCTCTGCCTGTTTTTTTTTTGTTTTGTTTTTTTTTGAACAAATGATCAAAAACAGAGATTTTGTATTGAATTTTTGTGTCTGATTGATATTCAAATGGGTTCTTGTAAAAGCCTCTCAGAAAAATGATAGTTTATAAAGCATAATATGATTTTCTTTTTCAATAAATACATTTTTGTTTTTCAATGATTTAAATTTAAAAAAAAAACACTTTGTAGAGGACATCAGGACTAAGCACACAAAAAATCTAATCAAATGCAATCAAAAATAAATAAATAAAGTGAATGAATGAATGAATGAACAAACAAATAAAGTGAATGAATAAATAAATGCAATATTAATATTATAATATTAAATATTTACATTCATATAAAAATTAGACAATATGTATTGTTTTGTGTAGTTTGTGTAATAAGTCAGGAATTGAACATTGTACAAAAAAATATTTTGTAATTTCTTTCTTTAAATAGTTTTTAAATAGTTTTAGTCAACATTTATGGCAAAATTCTGAAAAACAGATAAGGATATACAGAAAGAAAGAAACAAACAAACAAACACAAAGAATAAATACATAGGCACAAAAATAAAAATAGTAAATAAATAGTAAATAAAGCAATACTTCATGCAATATTAAAGAGTTACATCAATATAAAAATTAGACTATATATATGTGTGTGTGTGTTTGTGTGTGTGTGTGTACCTGGTATTTATCACGTTATGGGGACCAAAACGTAATAAGTCAAAGTAAATATTGTATAAACATGATTTTGTAATACCTTTCAGAAAATAGTTCAAAACTATGTTCAAAGTCCGGTTTATGTATGTGCATGCTGTGTCCCAGAGGAAAAACAATTCACAAAAAAACTCGAGGTACAACGAAGGTCAACAATTTGATTAACCTTCATTACCTGTCAGTTCTCAAGGTCAGGTGAATCCTCTCACAAACTGCTCTGAAGTCTCATAAAGACGTGCCGTCATATGATTGTGAAAGAGCAACTGCTGTCGTAATGACAGGCTTTAATGAGTCCTTTTTTGAAGGACAGAAATGCTCCTCGCAGAAGGAATGAGCCCTGAAGCCATTTCAGAGAGTGACTCATTAAAGCTTTGTTTGTAAGTGCTGCACAACCGTACGCCTCCATCCCTGCTAACAGGAAGCACTCAGGTAGCACTAAAACAGAGTCGCGAGTGAACGCGGTTAATGACTTCTCGTTTCAGTCTGTTCCCAAACATCAGTTACCAGCCGCGTGGAAGCAATTACAGAATATAAAAACGAATTAAGGTCAGATAAAAATAGCCAGATTTCATGCTGATAGACTTTCAACTGCAGCTTCTGAAACTCACTTTTCCCACTTTTTTGATAGTACAAGACATGATTGAGAGAGGTAAGAGGAATGAGCTCAGCACAAATGTTGAGTGAGCCAAACTCACTCAATAGAAGTTGTGATCCACCAATTAGAATGAACCTTGATTTAATTTACATTACAAGAATGAGTACTGAACATTAAAAGAACAGGTCACCTAAAAACAAAAATTTGCTGAATTTTCTCACCCTCATCCATCCAAGATGAGTTGGTTTCTTTATCAGAACAGATTTTGAGAAATGTATCATTGCATCACTTGCTCAGCAATGGATGCTCTTGCAGTGAATGGGTGCCGTCAGAACGAGAGTCCAAACAGCTGATAAAAACATCACAATAATCCACAAGTAATCCACACCACTCCAGTCCATCAGTTAATGTCTGGTGAAGCCAAAAGCTGAGTGTTTGTAATGAACAAATCCATCAAGACGTTTTAACTTTAAGCCATTGCTTCTGGCCAAAATATGAGTTCATAATAATAACAACGCTTCCTCAAGTGAAAAAGTCCATCTCCTGTTGTATACTCTCAAATCAAAATCCACCCAAATATTTGTTTAGGGCTATTTTGTCTTGTAAACGGTGTTTGATCAGTGCATATATTTCTCTCCTGATTCAGACGGGACGACTTTTTCACTGCAGAAAGTAATGTTATGGATCATGGGCTCGTATTTTAGCCGGAAGCGACAGTTTAAAGTTAAAAACATCTAAATGATGAAATGGTTTATTTCAAACACACAGGTTTTCACTTCACAAGATGTTAACTGATGTACTGGAGTGGTGTGGATTACTTGTGGATTATTGTGATGTTTTTATCAGCTGTTTGGACTCTCATTCTGACGGCACCCATTCACTGCAGAGGATCCACTGGTGAGCAAGTGATGCAATGCTACATTTCTCCAAATTTGTTCCCATGAAGAAACAAACTCATCTACATCTTGGATGGCCTGAGGGTGAGGACATTTTCAATGTTTGGGTAAACTATTCCTTTAAGAGAGAGGTAGGAATTTGTATCATATTGGCTTTGTGGTGGCATAATATCACAATTTAACACTAGATCTAATAACTAATAAATAATAATGGATGCAAATGTGGCTATAGGTGGTTAAACAGATGCTAGGAAGAAAAACAAGTCGAATCTAAGAAATCCTTGATTGAAAAAAAAAAAAGGCCGATCACTTTTCAGCAAGCAAACCAATCACAATTCATTATACATTACTATGATGTCATTGCTGTATGTTAGATTCGAATGCTGAACATTCTATTAATGGAATTCTGAGGGAAACGTCAAATTTAAATGAAAAACTGAAAAAGGCTGAGATTTAAATGTGAAAATAATAGCACTTTAAAGTTCATTTGTTTTCTAATTGTTGATAAACCTGTATTTCCCGATAATAAAATATTTTTTCCTTACAATAACCTGTAACAGGATGAATGGCTTAAAATAGTTTAAAAATCTGAAATGAAACAAAAACCATATTTAAAAAAAAAATCCAAACATTCAGAACACATTTAAAATGTCTCCTGCTAAAAAAAAAGTGATTTACATTTTTTTTTTGGGACCAGTTCAGGTTGAGTATGGCCAGGTTAAATGTTCTCACTGGAGCCTGTTGATCAGTCATGGGTCAAAAACGTCTTTCGTTCCATCTGTGACTTTTCCGTGAAGGGTGAAGCGTGGAAACTTGAAGGAATGGAAACTCTCTGTGATTCAGACGGGAGGCCGCACAATAATCTCTCTTTCTCAATGCGGGCCATTAGCATTAGAAAAGGAAAGTGAGTGGGGAGGGAGTGTTTTTGAGTGTCTGTGGAGAAACGGTTCGTGGAAAACAGGAGGTGGGTTTGAGACAATGTACAAAAGGAGGATGGGAGCTACACGAACTGTGCTTTAAGGGCCCAACCTTGACATTCCTTTATTCAATTGTGAATCACAGATTGATATAAAAAGGCACTCTCGTAGCAAAAACAATACCACTTTGAATTCACTGTCACATACACAGATCTCAATGCCTCAAAACAACTACGTAGGTGAGTGTAAAGGAAAGAAAAACATCTGGGTTCATGTGGGATGAGTCTCTGTGGTTCATCCAAACAGGAAAACTGAGACTAATCAGCCAAAATCATAATTATAACCATACAAACCACTTGGAAATGTCAGGGATCTGCTTTTGCAGCCATTCTACTGTTCCCACCTTTTTCAAGATATTATTTTCCAGGATATGATATGCAACCTATGTTTAAAAGTCAGCATGACATGACATTTGCAACCTTTTTAATTGTTGGCACACACTGCAGTTCAAAAGTTTGGGGTTGGTAAGATTACAGAAAAAATCTAGCAAAAACAGTAATACTGTGAAATATTTACAGAACTGATTTCTATTTGAATATATTTTAAAATGTCATTTATTGCTGTGATCAGAGCTGAATTTTCAGCTTCATTACTCCAGTCTTCAGTGTCACATGATCCTTCAGAAATCATTCTAATATGCTGATTTACTGCTCAAGAAACATTTATTATTATTCTTATGTTTAATATTTTTGTGGAAACTGTGATACTTTATTTTTGCCGGACTTTCTGATGAATAAAAAAGTTGGAGAGAACAGCATTTGTTTGAAATAGAAATGTTCTTCAAAAAATTTACTTTGATCAATTTAATGCATGCTTGCTGAATAAAAGTATTAATTTATAAAAAAAAATAA